TCAAAAAGACAATAATAAATAAATAAATAAATAAATAAATAAATAAATAAATAAATAAATAAAATAAGGTCTTGGGATATAGTTCAGTGGCAGAGCACTTGCCTACCATGGGTGAGGCCCTAAATTCAAGAAAATGCCTCATAGACATGGCCCCTCCTTACAGTTTTTAAATGCTTTCTTGCATCGTTCTCTCAAGTAAAGAGACATAAAGAATTGAAATAGGAGATAGAGGGGCTAAGAGATGGCTCAGCAGTTAAAAGCACTGACTGCTCTTGCAGAGGACCCAGGTTTGATTCCCAGCACCCACATGGTGACTAACAACTGTCTGTAACTCCAGTTCCAGGGAATCCAATGCCCTCTTCTGACCTTCATGGGCATTGTATGACACAGATGCACTTACATGCAGGCAATACACTCATACACATAAAATAAAGATAATAAATAAAAAAATTTTTTAAAGCTCTGTATCAGGGGCTGGAAAGATGGCTCAGCGGTTAAGAACACTGAATGTTCTTGCAGAAGACCTGGGTTTGAAGCCAAGCACCCACATGGCAGCTAACAACTGTCTGTGACTCTGATCCCAGGGGATCTGACAGCCTCTTCTGACCTCTGCGGGCATTGAACAACATGGGTGCACTTACCTACATGCAGGCAATACACACATACACATAAAATGAAAATAATAAATAAAATTTTTAAAAAAAGCTCTGTATCACACATATAACATCCCTGAGCAGGTATTGGCAGTCCTGAATTCCCACACTGTCAAAGAGCAGAGCCACAGAGAGACCAGCGTGAAGCATGGCCTGTTCTGTGAGCCTTGCTCAAGTAGCTGATCCTAGCCTCTCAAGATTAGGGGAAAGCAGGGGGCTGGAGAGGTGGCTCAGCAGGTTAAAAACACTGGCTTCTCATGGAGTTCAATTTCCAGCAGCCACATGGCAGCTAATAGCCATCTATAACTCCAGTTCCAGAGAAATTCAACACCCTATCTGACCTCTGCTGACTTTGCAGGACACAGGTACACTTATACACATGCAGGCAATATACTCATACACATAGAATAAAAATAATTAAATATTTTTTTAAGTGGAAGGCAGTCATGAGCATCCTGCTCTTCTGGATTCATCTTTCAACAGTTCAGAGAAATAGTAGGCATAGCCAGTTTGTCTCCTACCCCTTTTCCATAGGCTGCTGCTTCTTGAATGCTGAAATTCCATAATAATATTACTCAACTACCTAGTTATCAAAACCATGCGTGGCTTTCCTGGCCAGGAGCATGTATGTAGCTGTGCTTTTGCTGGCTCCTATATCTTTCTCCTTCACCATCTGAGTTTTGCAAATCAAATTTCACAATCTATATCCAACACCAATTCCAGAGAACAAAGTTGGACTTTACCTGTGCTCTTTTCTCCCTAGCCCTGTCCCTGCTTGCTGGACTGTCTGCCATGTGCACTGCAAGAACAGGACATACACAGAGTGGCTGACAGGACTGGGCTTTGGATAGTGCAAAGCTGCACTATATAGAAGCTGCGGGGAGTGGGGGGGATAGAGGTACCAGGCAATGAAAATAATGGCATTGATTGGTGATTAGATTCATGTCATTTTTCTGTTGAAAAACATCATGACTCCTTGGCCAAAAATTCTAAGAAGGTCAATTCATGACCCGAATCCATAGGAAGGTTATATAAGCAGTCTGCCTGGCCTGGTAGGGAGCAAAGAGCTGTATCTTCTCAGTAGTACTGTAGGTGTTGCTGTAAGACCTGAGCCAAGGCAAGATGAGAATCTATTTATGTCTATAAATAATGGAAAAAGGAATAAATTTGAGGCCCTAGACCTATATCTGGTGACAGGACAGAGATTTCAGTAGGTGGAAGGAGATAGGCCTAGCCAGGTGGAGACAAAGATAGATGAAGATGTGGTGGTTTGAATGAAAATGTGCCCCATAGGCTCCAAGTATTTGGACATTTTTGTCCCCAGTTGGTGGCACTGTTTTGGGAGGTCTTAGAAGTTGTGACTATGCTAGAGGAAGTACATCTGGGGGTGGGCTTACAGTTATTAAGCTTTGCTGAATCTTGAGTTGCTCTTTGCTTCCTGTGCCTGCTTGAAAATGTAGAGCTTAGCTTCTGCTCCTCCTCCAACCACCTCTGCCACCATGCTGTCCTGCCATGGTGGACTCTTGCCCCTTTGGAACTATAAGCTCAAATAAACTCTTCCTTTTATAAGTTCCCTTGGTCATGGTGTTTTTAATCACAACAAAAGAAAAGTAACTAATACAATAATTGGTGCCAGGAGTGCAGTGTTGTCTGTGAAGAACCTGACCATGTGGGGTTTGTGGAAGACTTTGGAAGTTTGGGCTAGAAAAGCAGTTGATTGCTATAAGCAGAGCTTAACAGGCCATTCTAGTAGGTCCCTGGAAGAAAGTAGTGCTGGCAACACTGTAGTTCCAAAGAGAAATAAGGACTTAAGCAGCAACTGGAATATTTTGGCAGAGTCTGGCTAGAGTCTGCCCACAGCCAAAAACCTTGCCTGAGGCTAAGTTGAAAAGCAATGGACTAATTTCACTGGTGGAAGAAATTTCTAGGCACCCTACACAGAGATGGTGGCATAGCTATTAATGGTATTATACAGCTCTATAGTGAAAAGGAAGAAATGGGACAGAAAGAACTACAGAATGTACAGTTTGGATTGAAAAAGAGCACTAGGAAAATTAATGTTGGAGCCAAGGTATGTGCTGAAGGACATGATCCCTTTGATAAGGAAATTAAAGTGATTAAGAAGAAGTTTAGAGATTTACACTTAAACATTGGAGAGAGTGCTTCAGGGTAAGACCACACCCCACTAAGCCTCCAACTTGTGAAAGGAAAATACTGCAGAGGTTTTCTACTAGAAAATCACTGAAGAGAAAAGCTTCAAAAATGGATAAAGCAGGCTGGAGTCCATCCCAAACTTGCACTCAAACTTGGCAGTATCATTCACCTGATGCTAGCTGTAGAAGCATGAAAAATGCAAGAGTGAAGGGATCATCAGTTCTTCCTCTGTGGTTTCAGAGAGCCACTGAGGCCAGGCAATGTGCAGTGGGGGTACCCCTGCATAAAGAAGGCCCTGACAGGCCATTGCATGAGGCTCTGAAATTGAAGCCTGGTTGGCAGTGGAGACCCCAAGAAGACCATTTGTTATGCTAGAACTATGAGACAAGCTGCCAAGAAGAGCTACATACAGGGAGTGGTACCAGCCCAAGACAGAGATGTATGTTTCCCACAACAAAGCTGGAGAGGCTGAGCCATCTAAGCCCTTTGGAAATAAAGCCCTAGAAGCTGGATGTGGAACTACTGGATTTGGTGTTTGCCCTGCTGGTTTTCGGTCTTGTTTTGGTCCAGTATTTCCTCACTATGCCTCTATTCCTCCCTTTTGGAATGGGAGTGTGTATTTGGTTCCACTGTATGTTGGGAGTATGTAATTTTTCTTTTGATTTTATGGGAGTTTACAGTTATCAGCTTGCCCTGAGTCTCAGAAGAGGCTTTGGAATGTGAACTTTTGAATTGAAGACTTTAGTATTGAGACTGGTAATGACTATGGGGACTTTTAAGGTTGAACTAAATGCATTTTGCATTTTATATGGTCATGAGCCTATGGGGGCCAGGGAGTAGAATGTGGTGGTTTGAATGAAAATATCCCCTGTAGGTTCTAAGTATTGGGGCATTTTGTCCCCAGTTTATGGCACTGTTTTTGGAGGTCTTAGAAGGTGTGGCCATGCTAGAGGAAGTACCTCACTGGAGGCAGACTTAGTTCTTAAGCCTTGCCAGGTCTCAAGTTGCTCCTGTTTCTTGTGCCTGCTTGAAGATGTGAGAGCTTAGCTTTCTGCTTCTGCTCCAGTCACCTCCTGCCCCCATGCCTTCCTGCCATGATGGATTGTAATTACCCTGGAACTGTAAGCTCAAACTCTTCTCTAAGTTGCTTTGGTCAGTGTTTCTATCACAACAACAGAAAAGTAACCAATATAGAAGATTACTCTGGCAAAGGCTTCTGGTCTGTTCCTGATATAACAGGCCCCATTCCTGTGGAAGGAGGATGTACCTGGTTCCCTAATTGGTTTATAGAGGGAAAACATGGGTTCCAATCCAACTCTAAGCACTTGGCAAGCAAGATATTTAATTCCTTCCTCCTTAAGGAGGTCTGTGAGGTTAAATAAAGTAACAGGCCCTTGTTCTTTAATCCAAGCACTATTACTGTTATTCTTATATCACTCTGCCTTGTATTCAGGTTCATTGGAAATATAGCTCAGTGGTCGTTAGTGCATGATCTTATCATGCACATTTTTAGGTAAGATCTCCAGATCCACCCCACCCCCAAATTTCCCCAAGTAATGGACAATGTCTTATCTCATTGATGCTAAGTTCTCAGCAACAAGTACAAAGTTCCAAGTGTGTTATGTGCAATGAGCATGGATTTTTAGTTGTTTTTTGTTTGTCTTATTTCTTTAACTGAACTCTGAGCACATCAAGGCTAGGGCACATACCCACTAGATCGTAAAAAGATTGTACCTACACACATAAAAATAAATATTTTTTTTAAAAAAAGAAGATTGTACCTACTTAGTAAAGGGGTTCAAGTTGTGCTTCTCTCTTGCAGGGATTTCCCAGATGACCCAGGAGTGCAGTGGGACACAGAGCGTGTGGCCAGCACCCTCCTCCAACATATAGATGTCAATGGCATCAACCTGGTAAGGGAATGCCACTCTAAATAGAAATCCCAGGGTCTTCATTCTGCCACACCAACTGTTTTCTGCAATGTGACTGCCCTTACACCCTAAAAGAGGCCCAAACCTCCAGGGCACTCTACTAAACCTGCTGAAGATCAGATATATGTTTCAATTCTCTTAGAGCTTATGTAAGACTAAGAAAATGAATCATCAGGAAAAGATTGGATTTTTTCCCAAACTGTGTCCTTTTTGCCCACCTCTATCTTGCCTCCTGAAAATCCAGGCCCCCAGGAACCTGCACCTCACTGGTACGGAACTTCTTTTTGTACCAACCTGCTTCATGTTTAGAATATCATTTTTACTTTTTTTTTTTTTTTTTTAGTCTTTTTGAGACAGTCTCCCTGTAGCCCCAGCTGTCCTGGGACTCACTCTGTAGACCAGGCTGGCCTTCAACTCACAGAGATCTGCCTGCCTCTGCCTCCCAAGTGCTGGGATTAAAGGTGTGCGCCACCACGCCCAGCCATTTTTACTCTTTAAAAATATTTTATTATATTATATTTTTCTTATAATCATACATATGTATATCTGCATGTGAGTGCAGGTGCCCACAAAGGGCAAAGACATCAGATCCCTTTGAGCTGGACTTTCAGACTTGTGACCTGCCCAATGTGGATGCCGAGAACCAAGCTTGGGTCCTCTGTAAAAACAGTATAGGAAGGTTGGGTGAGGTGGCACATCCCTTTAATTCCAACACTGGGGAGGCAGAGGCAGGCAGATCTCTGTGAGTTCAAGGCCAGAGTGGTCTACAGAGTGAGTTCCAGGCCAGCCAAGGCTACAGGGAGACCCTGTCTCAAAAAGACCAAAAACAAAACAAAACTAATCAAAAATAAAACAGTATATGCTCATATCTGCTGAACCATCTCTCCAGTCCCTTATTTCTACTTTAAAGTTAAATGTTAGAGCTTCCAGAGATATTTGGGGGAAAGAGTGTCTGGGGACCTCACCCAAAACTTTGTTCATGATGAGCCCATGTTCTACCACTGAACTACATTCTTAATCCTAAGTCTATGAAATTTTTTAAATATTTTATTTATTATTTTATTTTATGTGTATGAGTGTATTGCCTGCAGGTGTGTAAGTGTCATGCAGTGCCTGGAACTGGAGTTATGGATGGTTGTTAGCCACCATGTGGGTTCTGGGATTCGAACCTGGGTCCTCTGCAAGAGCAGTCAGTGCTTTTAATTGCTGAGCCACCTCTCCAGCCCCGAGACTATGAATTTTAAACCTCAATTTCTACAAGAGATGAGGATATATTCATACCCACTTTACAAAGTAGTTTTCAGTCACAGTTGCAGTAATGGAGATTCAAATTTACTTGCAAAAAATGGACAAACCCATCTCAGATTAGCAGGTCTGAATTTAACTCCAGTCAGTTTTAAAGCTGTCAAGGTTTATTGTCTAAATCTCAATATAATAAAATTTGTAATTCTTCATAGTTTAATACCTAAAATTCTACCATTTAAAGCCCTTCTCATGGGGACTGGAGAGATGGCTCAGCAGTTAAGAACACTGGATGTTCTTACAGAAGACCCAGGTTCGAATCCCAGCACCCACATGGCAGCTAACGATTGTCCATAACTCCAGTTCCAGGGAATCTGACAGCCTCTTCTGTCCTCCGAAGGCATTGCATGACATGGTTGCACTTACCTACATGCAAGCAATACACACATAAAATAAATAGATAAATTTTTTTAA